GTGATTTCATGCTTTATTCCCTGTTCTTCACAAAATTTATTAAATTCATTGGAAGTATATTCACCTCCACCATCAATTTGCAGCATCTTAATAAGATGACCACTTTGCTTTTCAACATGCACCTTGAATTTCTTAAAGCAATCAAAAACTTCAGACTTTCTTTGCAACAAATAGACCCGAATCTTTCAAGTAAAATCATCAATGAAGGTGAGGAAGTACCTATTATTGCCATTTGACATTGTATTCATTGGGCCACACACATCAAAATGGACAAGCTCAAGTGGTTGAGTTGCTCGTTGTTGTTGTTCTGCTACAAAAGGCATTTTGTGATGTTTCCCAAGAGTGCAGGCTTCACACAACTGATCAAGATTATGTATACTAGGCATGCCTTTTACCATCTGTCCTTGAGCAAGCAATTTTAAACTTTGGAAATTTAGATGTCCAAACTGCAAGTGCCAACGTCAAGATTCATCTTTCATAATTGCATTAAGATAATTATAAGCTCCACCAGAAATATCAACTTGAAATATACGATTTTTGCTCAAGGGGACCTTAAGAATAAGCGTACCTTGCTTATCTAGAATGGAGAATTGATTATCACGCAGGCTCATAACATACACCTTTTCAAGCAATTGGCCCACACTAAGCAAATTACTCTTCATGCTTGGAACATAGAACACATTTGAAATGTATTTGTGATCTCCATTCTTCAAATTGATGAGAATTCTTCCTTTTCCAGTTACTGGTATAGTTCTATCATCAACAAATTTCACTTTTGTGTGAAAGGACTGATCAAGATCAACAAATAGCTCCCTTTTGCCACTCATGTGATTGGTACATCCAGTGTCAAGGAACCATGTGTGAAAGTTTGGTGTTTCACCAACAACAGTGACCATCAAGAGAGCATGGCTACTGTCAGCATCATCATCTCCTTGTACACAATGAGCCTTTTGAGTATTATCCTTGTATCTGCACTCATTGAAATAATGGTCATATTTATGACAATTGTAACATTCAACATTGAATTTGTCATATCTTCCTCTTCCACGTCCATGACCACGGCCACAGCCATAGCCTCTTGAATTTTACTAATAGCCAAAGTTTGATTTTTCTTAGTCATTGCCTCATACTCCATAATTGTTGTTATGATCACCATGACCTTTGCTGAAGTAGAAACCACGTCCTCATCCTTTTTCACGAGAACCGCCATGCTTTTGACTGGTTTCACCACCTTGATCACCTTTGATAGAAACTTCGCTTTGGAAGGCTTGCTCAATTGGCTTCTCTATTTGCTTCCCATTCATTCTTTGCTCATGTGCTTTTAATGAACCTAACAACTCATCAACAGTCATCTGGGACAAATCGTGGGCTTCTTCTATTGTTGCCACAATGTGCTCAAAATTTGGTGTGAGTGTCCGCAAGATTTTCTCTACTTTAGCCTGCTCGTTGTACTCCTCTCCATATACTTTACTTTTGTTTGTCAAAGCAAGAACTCGATTGATATAAGTGGCAACAGTTTCAGAAGACTCCATTTGTAGGAGCTCATATTGACGTCTTAAGGTTTGGAGCTTTACCTTCTTAACCTTCTTCGCACCTTTGTATGTTGTCATCAAGGTATCCCATGCTTGCTTTGATGTAGCTGCATCTTCAATCTTCTCAAACACTTCATCATTCACCCCTTGATAGATGAAATATAATGCCTTCTTGTCCTTTTTCTTACTCTCACAGTAGGCATGCTTTTGGGCATCATTAGCATTTCCTGCAATTTCAACAACTCCATTCTCCACGACACTTAGCAATTCGTGGTAATCAAAAAGCACCCTCATTTGCACACACCATCAGTTGTAATTTTTGCCATTCAAAACAAGAACTGAAATCTAAACAGGACCATTCATTGTGCCTGCTCTGATACCACTGATAGAGAAAGAGAAGAAAATGCAACAATAAGAGGAGTTTTTAAACTGAAAAATACTTATATGAATTGATATTTTATTTCACTGATAACAGCCTTTATATAGGCAGAAGACATCAACAATGCAACCAAATAAATAGCAACCAAATCCTAAAAACAAGGCTACATGGCTAACATGCACACCGACACGTTTCTGCACTAAGTCCTAAAGAGTAACAAACAAATAAACTGGTTCCTAGATAATAGGTGACAGTAAGACTTATTCAAAAATGAAAACTGCAATAGGATTAGGATTAACAAACCAACACAGACGTGAATAGCTGCCTCATTTAATGTTGCGTTTGGTAATCATTTTCTTGCCCATGACAATTAATATTTTTTAAAGGGATGTGACTCCTCTTTTTGGTTTAGGATGCTGTTTAGTTTATTAGATTGTGTTTTGGTGCTGAATCCACCTTTCTCCCTGTTTAGGCTTTTTCGTATTAGGTTTATTCATTTCTATGTTCTTCTCTGTAGTTTGGTTGCTGTTCTTCAGAGTTCCTTTTAATTCTGCTTTGTTCTTTTGCACAAAACTGTTCTGTTGGTTCTCAATATCCAAGGTTTTCCTTTCTTCGGTTATTTCTATTCTTATTCTATGTCTTAATGCTGTTGTTATCTTAGACGGTTGTTCTAATAATCTTTCTTTCGTTATTCTTTCCCAGATTCTTTATTCTTTTTTCATGTCCACTGTTCTTGACTCTGTATTTTAAACGTTTTTCTTGATCATGTATTGGTGTTGTGTGTGCTTTGTTTAGTGTGTTTTGATGGTCATTGATTGTCTTGCTGTTGTTTTGGCTCTTGAAAAAAGCCCAAACTTTGTAATTATTCACTGGTCTATTTTAGGGATTTCACCACCGTTTTACAAACATCATGCCCTGTTTCTAGACTGTTCCTGGCCCCAACGTTAGCTTTCCGTTGTTCTCTACCGCTTTGAAAATTTACTTGGTTCCTCTCGTTTTCTGCTGGCGGAAACCAGAATTCGGCGCGATGGGGTAGAAAGGATGGCAAACCGTGGGGAGAGGAAAAGGAAGGGAGAGCAGGAAGAAGAAATAGGTGATAAAAGGGAGGAAAATTTGTATCGATGCAGAGAAGGTTGCCGAGAAGGTTGGTGATGGAGAAGAGACAGAGGCCATACCCACCATGGAATGCTCTTAATTGTTCCCTTAGTTGAGCGTGTTTCTGTGGCTGATGGGACAAGTTAGCAGCGATGGATGAAAAGGGGGAAAGGAAGAGCAGAAGCAGTCGAGTAGGTGAGTTGGTTTTTTTGGTTTATTCAAATGGAGAGAGGGAAGGTCTTCTTTTATTGTTATTAATTTTTTTCAATCGGAATATGGCCCGAAGCCGATTAGGGATTTAGGCTACAGTGGTTTTTTTCCCTCTCATTTTTTCATCTGGGTCATCTTCAAAATGGTGAATTTCCCATCTTTTCCCTTTTTCTTTCTGTTTAATCTTTCTCCAGACATTTTCTGTGTCTTAATCCACATATTTTTGTGCTCAGTTTTCATTTTTGACATAATCAGGAGCTTGCGTTCGTGTTCTGATTTATCCATCTGCTGTCCGTTGATCCTAGATTGGATTTGACAACTACCCCACCTGTGTCTTTGATCAGATTCTGTCTTCAAGGTATGTTTATCACATACCTTATAAATTCATCACATGACGTATGTTTCTTTTTCTCTGCTGGATTGTCATTGCAATTCACCTTTCAATTTATTTACTATGGTTTTCTTGACTGAGATTGATTGTTTGGCTGTTGATGGTATCTAATCATGTAATTTAGATTTGTTCTTAGTGTCAAAGGTTTTCCATTTGTTGAATTTGGTTTTGAATTTGCAATTGAGTTTCAAATTTAATTTTGAACCCAATTGTGGGATCATTTTCTATGTTATTTTTGACATGGGGATTTTTGAATGCTTATTGTAGAGAAGATGGAATTAGATCTTGGTAAACGGGTTAAATTTAATAAATAATTTATTAATTATATAATTTATTTTAATTTAATTTAGAAATAATTTTGCAATTGAGTTTCAAATTTAATTTTGAACCCAA